TAGTTCCACTTGTTTGCTTTTGCTTTTTATTGCCTGTGCTTTTGGTATTTTATTTAAAAAAAAAAAACACAAAAACCCATTGCCAAGACTGATGTCAAAGAGCTTTGCCCCTCTGTTTTTTTCTAGTAATTTTCAATATTATGTTTAAGTTTTAATAAATTTTGAGTTGATTTTTATGTATAGTTTAAGAAAAGTGTCAAATTTCATTCTTTTGTATGTGGATATCCAGTTTTTCCAACAACATTTATTGAAAATACCTTCTTTCCCCATTGTCTATTTTTGGCAAATTAGTTAACCATATGTGCATAGGTTTATTTCTGTGCTTTATTCAATTTCATCTGTCTATGTGCCTGTTTTTATGCCAACACCATATACTCTTTTGCTGACTGTAGCTTTGTAATATAGATAAAAATCAGAAAGTGTGATGCCTCTAGCTTCGCTATTTTTTCTCACAATTTTTTAGAGCTATTTGGGGGTATTTTACATTTTCATGTGACTTTTAGGATTCTTTCTGTGAAAAATGCCATTGGAATTTTGATAAGGATTGCATTGAATCTATAGATTGTGCTTGGGTAGTATGAAGATATTAACAATACTAATTTTTTCAATTCAAGAATATGGGATAACTTTCAATTTATTTGTGCCTTCATCAATTTCTTTCATCATTGTTTTAGTTTTTACTTTACAGATCTTTCACTGCCTTGGTTAAGTTTATTTCTATTTTTTATGCTACTCTAGGTGGCGTTTTCATAATTTCTTTTTCAGATAATTCATTGTTAGTGTATAAAAATGTGAATTTTGTACAACTTTGGTGTGTTGATTTTGTATCCTGCAATTTTACTGAATTTGTTTATTAGGTTTAACAGTTTCTTTGGTGGGACCTTTTAAGAATTTCTACATATATGATCATGTCATCAGCAAACAGGGATAATTTTATTTATTTCTTCCCAATTTGGATAATATATATTTGCTTAATTGCTGTGGCTAGGACTTCTAATAAGTTGAATAGAAGTAAAGTGAGTACCATTTCATCTCCTAGAAGAACAAACTTTTTTTGGACTTCTCTTAATTAGATATTGTGAAAAGTTTTCTGCCAAGAAAGCAATGATTCTGTGTTCTATCTAAATAATATTCTGTGTTTTATGTCATCTTAATCAGGTCTTTGGTTACTTAATAAAACTGAATCATCTCAATAGTAAGAGCTAACCTTCTATATTTGTCTTTGAAATATTTTATTATTACTTTGGTCAATATATGAAGTATTATTTCATAATAATCTCTGTCCAAATATTAAGCCTTCTGCATGTTGTGTCTGTATAGGTGTATAAATGTTCCAGAAAATCTGGGAAATTCCTGGAATTCTGATCTGTTCTTGAATAAGATATCTGTCTTAAAAATTGAGGCTCATACTAAAAGAACTGAACCTGAGTATCAAGGAAATATCTTAGCTGACTTTCATGTAAAGGCAACATCAACAAAATCTATAAAGATTGTGGCACAAGCAGATGAAGTCCATTCTGCTTCTGCAAAACTGACCCCTCAGTGCCTGACTTTGATAACCTTGTAACATGGCAACAATCTGCTCCTAAATCAGAGAAACTAAGATGGGTAAAGAATAGCTATAAACTTAAACAAACAGGACTATAGAAAACCCAAGACAACCACTTGGTTCTTCAACGCTGCCTCGCCAAAGCTCTTTTGTTGTTTTTTTGCATTCCTTCATTCTCCATAGTGCATTTAAGCTGACCATTCAACTTCCACTTATTATGGGTTCTTGATATGTTCTTGTATGTGTTTTCCAGATGAGTTGAAGCCTTTCCTTGCCAAAAGGCTAATGCCATTCTCAGTGGCAAAGAAATGGTTAGAAAATGTGTTTGCAAGTTGGGGCATACCTTCACAATCTCTAGTGTTTAAGGCACACACTTTACTAAGTAAATCATACAAACCTTGATGGAAAACCTTGCAAACAACTTGGAGTTATCTACCACTAACCCCAACACCCTCGATCATCAGGCATAGTCAAGAAAACTAATGGAAAAACTGGATTCATAAAGTGCTATTAACAAAAAGATCAAGAGCAACAAAAATTAATAACAAGGGACTGAATGAACTGATAAGAATGATTATAACTTCTGTGACTTCTGTTTGAAATATTACTGGTTCTTTAATCTTTTGTTTTGCAGATATAAGAAAACTTTTTCTCTTAAGCTACCTATGACTTAGAGCAATTTGGTAAAATATACCTTCGTGAGCAGAATTGAAACATTTGTCTTTTTCTCCCTACTTGATTCCTCCAGAATTCAGAAACTCTGTGTGAGTATTCTTATTTGTTATTGCATAAGTTCAATAAGAATCTGTTTTCTTTGTAACAGAACACAATTGGAAACTGATTATATTATAAAGGCTTTAACTGGAATGTCATATTTGAAAGAGACATGCATAGACTCAGATATGACCAAACAGCTGTAAGGAGCTAAGTTTGACTTATGTAGGCCAGTAAAACCCTTGCAAATATCAGCCTGATACCTTCCTTCCAGGGCCCCAAGCAGCCTTACCAGGTAAGTAAGAAAGGTCACTTCCTGGCAGACACAGGAAACTCAAGATATTTTGGAACCTTGAGAGGAAAGGAACTCACCAAATCTATAGGTATTGCAGGCAGAGTTGAATGGCAAGTCCTTGCCTTGACTTTTCTGGCCTCAAAAGGCCTTTTAAAATTCAATCCGAAGATACCTTATGAAAAATTCCAGCAAAGCCAATTTTTAAAAGCCCAATTTTGCTGCTTCTATGTAAATAACAGAAAAAGATTTTTTTTAAATAGACCTATTTTGGAAACACCTTGGTCTTAATTTGGCTATATTTTTAAAAAATTAGGTGATTCTGAAAAAATTATATTTGAGTAATACACCATTTTGGATATTAAATTCCAGTGCTATTCATTATATTTTGAAGTTTTTATTTTCCTACCTGTATGTTGGACTGGACCAGAATTGTTCTTGTTTCCTACAACATCTGGCTGACTCTCCAAACTAACATTTCCAATTTTTCTCCCAGCCTTCTGACTTGAAATCATTGAAAATTAAAACTGCTCTTTTCCAAAAGTCATGCAAGTTAAAGTGGGACAGCAATATAAACTTCAGAACAATCACAACACCTTATACATGCACAATCTCAATGCCAGTTGCAAAAAAAAAATCACCAGAGACATTCATTTTGCAATCTATCAGATCATCACTTCCTCCCTTTACTCCACCTAGAGATTCTTTAACCCAGACATTCTAGAAATCTTTTCAACTGGCAGTCTTCAGAAATGAGACATTAGGATTATACTCTGCATCAGTAAGTAACCTTTGCTTATCTTTTTGTTTCCATAGGGATGCCTCTTAGTAAATACCAGATTGCTTGTACCATAGGCCTAAATTTGGGAACCACCTGCATCATCACCTCCTGAAATGAGACGGCTGTTTAACTGAACTGTCCTATTTTCAAGACTTAAACTGGTTTTAAAATATATATAATAATGTTCTAATTGGACCTATCCTAAGGCTTTAACATAAAAATTGCACAAATATTGAACTGAATATAAACTCATATATGGTAAGCATGTCTCTTGCCCACATCTCCCCTACATGGGACATAATGGACCCAAGAAAGGCATTGTCACCTTGGCATCGAGGGACTTTAAAATGTTTTGTTTGATCTATGATGGTTTCTGAAAGAAAAATCCTGATCAAAAGGGGAAAATTAGGAATGGAGTGCAGAAATAAAATGGAGCCACTATAGTCAAGCTGCTAATTACTAATATCAAGTAGGTTAAGGTATGAGGAAACTATTCTATTCTTGTTTTAACTAGACTGAGACAAAGTTATGAAATTTCCAGTCCTGCCTCAATGCCGGTACATACATCAAACCTCCAGATAACCCTCTGATTTAACCCCTGAAGGATGAAGGAAAGAATTTTCATGTATCCAGACCACATGACATGCAGTGTCCACATCACTGGTCATCTAGAGAATTACCATCTTGGACCAATCCAGAGGCTAAGAATGCAGGACTGATTTTTCTCAAGAATGTACCTTTTACTATAAGACACTTAGCTTTTCTTTTTCTTTTGTTTTGGAAGACTCTGGCTATTTCCTAGCAATGTTTCTAGTTTGTAAACCCTAATACCCTTGAATAAATTGTATTATTTATTTCTAGCAAAGTGTCCAGACTCTTTGAGTTTGTTCAACAGGGGCAAGCACTGGGGCCACATTGGAGGTTTCAGTGACTCCGAATTGGAAAGAAAAAAAAAAAAGCCAGGAAAGGTCAGAATAAGAATGATTTATTCGACCAAACTCTTCTTTCACAATCTCAACCTCTCCCTATCAGTTCTAGGGAAAATACTTTCTTTTTTTTTTAAATATATCTTTATTGATTTCAGAGAGGGGAAAGGAGAGGGAGAAAGAGAGACAGGAACATCAATGATGAGAAAGTCATTGATCAAGCCCGCAACCCGGGCATGTGCCCTGACCGGGAATCGAACCCCGATCGCCTGGATCCCAGGTCGATGCTCAACCGCTGAGCCACGCCCGGCCGGGCTCTTTTTTTCTCTTTTTTTAACAGTTTGGACTTAAGTGCTCCTTTAAAATATCCTTTGTAAGTGTGGACCTTGTTACTTAAAAAGCACCCATTCTCTGGTACATACCATTCTGCTTTGCCTTTGTCAAGGATGTTTTGTGATCCCTGCCCTCATTGGAGGCCCAAGTTTCACCAAAGTTCACATTCTGTGGTGAAAGTGTGCTGGTGGCCACCATCCAAGTGACAAGGAGAAAATTCTGAGATATCCTAAATTAAATTACAGCAGGCCAGAGGGTGGAAGGAAGAGACAAGAGAGGGTACTCAGTTCAAAAGGGCATGGCAAGAAGGGGAGGTTGGGGGACTGGGTGAAAAAGGTGAAGGGATTAAGTACAAATTGGTAGTTACAAAATAGTCATGGGGATGTAGAATACAGCATAGGGAATATAGTCAATAAGATTGTAATAAATATGTATGGTGCCAGGTAGTACCAGAAATATTGGGAGAAACACTTTGTAAAGTATATGATTGTTTAATCATTATGTTGTACAACAGAAACTAATACAAAGTAATATTGAAAGTAAACTGTAATTGAAAAATAAAATTTGCCCCTCGCTGGTTTGGCTTAGTGGTTAGAGTGTCGGCCCACGGACCCAGGGGTCTCGGGTTTGATTCCCAGTCAAGGGTACGTGCCTTGGTTGCAGGCTCAATGCCCTGTTTGGGTCGGGGTTTGTGCTTGGGAGGCAACCAATCAATGTGTCTCTCTCACATTGATGTTTCTCTCTCTCTCACCCCCTCCTCCCTCCCTTCCACTCTCTAAAAATCAATGGAAAAATATCCTCAGGTGAGGACTTAAAAAAAAAAAGAAAGAAAAATTTTTAAAAACTACAGGGCAAAACGAACAAAAGGCTACTTACATTCCTGAATGTATGTTGAATGTTTGAATTAATTTCCAGGTGGCTATTCCCTCCATTATCTAAAGAGAATAGTCAGGCACCACCAACCAGCATGCACCCCAGCTTTATGCTTACACATGAACTTTCTGGACTCTTGCCCACCATCAATCCTTAAGCAAAAACATTTTCCGTAAGGATTATGCACCTGTCCCAGAACTAGCCCTGCTTCATTTTCTCCCACTCTCTTTATCTATACCCAATGTAAATATTTTCAAAACAACTTACCTATTCCACAAACTGTAACAAAGTGCCCATCAACTCCAGGACAGAGGGCATGTTTGTTGTTTTCACCCAGCCCTGCTTGTGCTGGTTTAACCTGTAGGCACTGGGACCTGATCCTTTCTAGCTAGCATTTTGGCTATATAAACCCTTCCTTCAGAAAAGCTTTCAGCTGTGGAAGTGTTTTGTTTAACACAAGCACCACTGCATTCTCAGTTTTACCTCTAGTACCAGCAGAGGGAAAGACTCAGGAAAACAGGACCTCAGGGCCTGCCAAAACCCTGGGGGAAGAGCAGAACTACTAGGGGAAAGCACTGGCTTCCATACAGACTTTTCAGAGGAAAGGCACATTTAAAAGACTAGCACTTCAGGATACCTCATTCTTTAGCAAATACATTGGGTTCTTCCTTTTCCACATTATAGCATTGCCCCTTCCCTTCTCCCCCTCAAGGTATTCAGGTTTACCATGTCCACATGCTATTCCATCAATGGCTATATCTTGGTTTACCTGGTGACTTGCTTCATGCTCAGCTATTCCAAGGCAGTATGATTATAGTAACTGTGTAGAATATCTTTGAACATGAATATGCATTTTAGAGTGTTGTGAGATAGATGCCTAGGGGGTCTTATTAGGACAAAGCCTGTGATTGTTTTCAAAGCACATTGCTTACATAGTACTTTAAAATTCACCTGGTCCTGCATTTATTCTTCCTCTATTGCCTTAATTTTATAAGGCCAGCCAGTTATAATTTGCATTTCCTTTTGTCTTAGATCCATTGTCCTAACTGCTCTTGTGATTCAGGTATTATGAAATATAATTCTTCCCTTCACATTGTCCACTTGGATACACTGAACTTACATAAAATTGGGACTTACATAAAATTGGGTTTAAATATGCCAGTGCATCTAAAAATTTATTACTATATCATAGTGGTGATATCCTTTGCAAAAGCTTTAACTCTATTGATATGACCTCTGATAATAGCACCACAAAACAGAAAAAGGAGAAAGTGCCGTGTGTGAATTCAAAGTTTGTAGGTGAAAGTGTGCCCCAGGAAAGCTGAGCTGCAGAATATTCATAAAATATCCCCCTCTTGAATAAAGAACAACTTTTCAGTCAGGCATCAAATGGTCTTCATGACTTGGGTCCTTTCTTTCCAACAATGCTATTTCCCTCAATGTTCCAATCTTTTTCACTGTTTATATTTCAGTAATATTTTTCTGTTCTGTCTTCTCTTAAATTTCATGCCTCATTGTGAACTAGTAGATAAAATGTCAACGTCTCAATTGTTTTCATTTCTTTTTCTGAAGTTTTGTTGTTAGTATACAGGTAGGCAATGGATTTTTGTACATTAATTTTGTATCCTGCAACTTTACTGTATTAGTTTATTGTTTCTAATAGCTTTTTGGTGGAGTCTTTAGGGTTTTCTATATACAGAATCATGTCATCCTCAAAAAGTGACAATTTTACTTCTTCCATCCTTTTATTTCTTTCTCTTGCCTTATTGCTGTGGCTAGCACTTCTAGAACTATGTTGAATAAGAGTGGTGAGAGTGGACATCCTTCTCTTGTTCCTGATCTCAGAGGAAAAGCTTTCAGTTTTTCACCATTGAGTATGATATTAGCTGAGGGTTTATATATGGCCTTTATTCTGTTAAGGTGCTTTCCTTCTATTCCTATTTTATGGAGTGTTTCTGCATCTATTGATAAGATCATGTGATTTTTATTTTTGTTAATGTGTTTTATTATATTGATTGATTTATGTATGTTGAACCATCCTTGTGGCCCTGGAATGAATCCCACTTGATTGTGATGTATTATTTTTTTGATGTACTGCTTTATTACATTTGCTAGTATTTTGTTCAGGATTTTTGCATCTGTATTCATCAGAGATATTGGTCTGTAGTTTTCTTTTTTGTGTGTTATCCTTGCCAGGTTTTAGTATCAGGGTTATATTGGCCTCATAAAGTGGGTTAGAAAGTATTGCCCCTTCTTCAGTTCTTCGGAAGAGTTTGAGGAAGATAGGTTTTAAATCTTCTTTGAATGTTTGGTAGAATTCACTGGTGAAGCCATCTGGTCCTGGACGTTTATTTTTAGGGGGAGATTTTTGATGGTTGTTTCAATTTCCTCACTGCTGGTCGGTCTATTTAGTTTTTACAATTCTTCATGATTTAGTCTAAGAAGGATTATATATTTCTAGGAACTTATCCATTTCTTCTAGGTTATTGAATTTGGTGGCATATAGTCTTTCATAATATTCTAGTATGATCCTTTGTATATCTGTGATGTCTGTGGTGATCTCTCTCATTTCTGATTTTGTTTACATGGGTCTTTTCCCTTTTTTCCTTAGTGTGTCTAGCCAGGGGTTTGTCAGTTTTATTAATCTTTTCAAAGAGCCAGCTTTTAGTTTTATTAATTTTTTGTATAGTCTTTTTGTTCTCTATTTCATTCAATTCTGCTCTAATTTTTATGATTTCCTTTCTCCTGCTGACTTTGGGTTGCTTTTGTTCTTTTTCTAGTTCTTTAAGATGTGATGTTAGGTTTTTTACTTGGGATTTCTCTTGTTTCTTGAGATAGGTCTGTAATGATATAAACTTCCCTCTTATTACTGCTTTTGCTGCATCCCAGAAATTTTGATATGTTGTATTGTCATTCTCATTTATCTCTCTATATATTTTTTGATCTCACCTTTTATTTCTTCTTTGATCCAGTTATTTTTTAGTAATATGTTGTTCAATATCCATGTATTTGTGGGTTTCTTTACTTCCTTTTTGCAGTTGATTTCTAATGTCAAGGCATCTTGGTCAGAGAATATGCTTGGTATAATTTCAGTCTTCTTCAATGTGTTGATGCTAGTACTGTGACACAACATATGGTCTGTCCTTGATAATGTTCCATGTGCACTGGAGAAGAATGTATAATCTGATGTTCTGGGATGAAAGGCTTTGTAAATGTCAATTATGTCCATTTGGTCCAGCGTTTCATTTTAGGCCGATATTTCTTTATTGATCTCGGTTTGGTTGATCTGTCTAGAGCCACCAATGGAGTATTAAGGTCCCCAACTATGATTGTGTTTTGATCTATTTCTCCCCTTAGTTCTGTTAGTAGTTGCTTTATATATTTTGGTGCTCCTTAGTTGGGTGCATATATATTAAGAAGTGTTATGTTTTCTTGATGTAGTGTCCCCTTTATCATTATTAAGTGCCCATCTTTGTCTCTTGTTATCTTTGTTGTATTGAAATCTATTTTGTCAGATATAAGTATGGCTACACCTGCTTTTCTGTGGATGTTATTTGCTTGGAGAATCATTTTCCACTGTTTCACTTTGAATCTACCTTTGTCTTTGCAACTTATGTGTGTCTCTTGAAGGCAGCATATGGTTGAGTTTGTATTTTGTTTTTTGTTTTTATCCAATCTGCTACTCTGTGCTTCTTTATTGGTAAATTGAGACCATTTACATTTAGGAT